CAGCTATAACTGCTATGTTGCCTGTAATGTGTGCCAGTAACCACATGGGCAAAGTGGGTGTGGCATAGGCATCTAAACAAGCATGGGCATTTATTATCAATGTTTTATGCTGTCTCTAGGCGTTTATACAGGTACTGGCATTTATTGGGAGTAGGTGTTTCCATGAAGAAATACAGTATGTTCCTCAAACACAGTATCCTATTGATGACACTCATAGTCCCTTCTTTCTGGTGGTGTGTGTTTATTGTAGGATCAGTCCTTATTATCCTTATTGCATTTTATGAGGAAACAATGTATCTTATGCATTTCTATTGTGAAGCATAGCACACAACATAACAATGTTGGTATAAATACATTGTAGTTATATACCATACATTATAACTAATTGTTCAGCCATTGAATTATTATGCTTGCATTATTAGTTACTGGTTGAACATACTGTAAAATTATAAGAACTGTATAATAATGATGTAATAAAATTGATTTTATTTATTATTTTGTATACTGTACTTTATTTGTTATGTTTGTTTCTTATAGAATAACTACACTCCATTACATGTAGCAGCTAGAGAAAACAATATTGATGCTGTCCAGTGGTTACTCAGTAAAGGTGCTGCTACTGACTCAAGAATTGATGTGAGTTGTATATTAAATGATACACACATTATTACAACATTATGTAATGTAGTACATGCTAGTTGATAATAAACCAGTTCCAATACATGTTTTTCTTTATATTTATTTGTGCGATATTCCAATATTGTTTATGTATTAATTTACCTTGCACATTGTAATTTTTAATGTGATAAAATTTTGTTGTACACATTTTTGTGAGGAGTATACTGTGCCATCATGAATTACATGTATAGTACATGTATTTGAATTATGTGTAAACATGTACATAATACATGTACAAGTAGTATGATCTTTTGATATTTGTGTATAATTACTTTTAGTATAGAGTGTGTTTTATTTATTTTATTAATGTAGAAATTCAACAATACATGTGTACAATACATTACATTACAATACATTATTGTGTTTAAATTTTGCCCTAGCTTTTCTTTTTTTAAACGAGTTAAATTTTCCTGTTTTTTGTAAATGTGCATTTTGTCTCTCACTCTCTGTCTCTGTCTGCCTGTCTCTCTCTTTGCCTGTCTGTCTCCCTCCCTCCCTAGCTCTCTCTCTCTTGCCCTCCCTCTCTCTCTCTCTGTCTCTTTGTCTCTCTCTGCCTCTGTCTGTCTGTCTGTCTCCCTCCCTCCTTATAGCTTTCTTTCTCCCTCCCTCCCTCCCTGTCTCTCTCTCTCTCTGTCTCTTTGTATCTCTCTCTTCCTCTCTGTGTCTGTCTCTCTATCTCCTTCCCTCCCTCCCTCTCTCCCTCCCCCCTCCCTCTCTCTCTCTCTCTCTCTCTCTCTCTGTCTCTCTCTCCCCCTCTGAGCATATGTTTTACATGTACACGCCCAAGAGTTGGAACATGGACCAGTCCTGATACAGGCCTGAATCATTACTGATGATCGAGCCTGGACCGAGGATTTGGGGCAATATGTCCTGATCCGATATTGACGAATCAGCCACGATTTATGCTGGTGCCAGACCTGATCCGACAACGATAACGATATTCATTAAGCCTCATTATGACGTACTTCCTGTTATGCTTAATTAATACTTAATTATTATTCATTATTAATTAAAAATGATTTGGAATTATTATTAAAACCAAAACAAAGATTATAATTGTTTTCTTTATCATAGTCTACCAATGTTCCACAAGTAAGACACTTCATGTTTTGTAACTTAAGACACCTAAAGAGCCATAAATTAAGAAGGCACTAAAATAATAAACTTACATTACTGAGAAATTAATTTCCCAAAATCTCTAACATTAATGA